ACACCACCGAAATAAATATGTCGATATAAAAAAATTTTGAGATCTGAGTGAAAACGTATACCTAATAATGAACAATAATAATGAAAGAGCTGATCAACAGGCAAGGAACGCTGCAAACGATCCACAAAGAAAAGATCAATTTCCTCTTCGTCTAGAGAACATTGTCGTTTATGTTAAAAACAATATCAAACGAAAGAGGGCGCAAGATGGAATCTCTGTACAGATGGTATGACAGAAATTAAACCAGTTGTACATAAACTGAGCAATTTGAGGGAAAAGAACTAGTGATTCTCTCCAGATTGCGAAGTTTGGAACTGCATGGAGGCCCTGACGGAAGTCACTAATGACCTGACCTGGCATGGGTTCCGGGTCACCGGGGCATAGAGGCAACATGGACAAAGGTTGACATGTAGGCCAAAAAGAGGTCAACATGGATTCTCTGGGTCCTGAACCCTACTGTGGCTTAGCATCCTGCCTCAAAAGAGGATGCATCTTAAAATGGTTCTTTAATGAGCCCAAAACCTGGAACAATACCACAGGTATGAGGTACGCGAAAAGATTCATAGAAGGATCATCCGCAAAACATACAAAAGAATTACTGGAAGGCAACCGCAACCGACCCAGGATTCTGGTTGGACTCCTGACAGGACACTGCCACTTAAGAAAGCACATGAACCGGATAAGAGTACAGACAGAAGAAACCCTATGCAGATACTGCCCGGAAGAGGAGGAGACTGTAGAACACATTCTATGTTTCTGTGAAAGTTCTTGCAACAAGGACAAGAAAAACCGCAAGCAAGATCCTACACCAAGGAGCCGCAGGCAACGTTATGGAGGCTGATTAATAACTTGAACCTGACCAGTGACTTACAAATAACAGGGGAGCACAATAGATTTATTCAGGTCGAAGTGCAGTAGTCTTGAGGCCGCTTCTTTTATCCCTATCCTTATCCCAGATTGCGAATAGGTCACATCAGACTAATCCATAATAGTCTTTTAATAACAGGAGGTTGTTACCTTCCAATTGTCCTCGATGTACTCGAAGTGGAGAACGTATCATTCTGACTGTAAAACATATTTTGTCCCACTGTCGTTGCAACCCTTTAGGCAAATAATCAACCTTTCGAGGGATATAAAGTAGTTACTAGGTCCCCAGTATTTGTTTCGAAGTGCACTTTTCAGCTTTCTTAAATTTATTGAAATTTATAACGAGATTTAGGCCCTTTCCCTAATTCTTGTACATTTGAATGTTTGTCTGCTACTGTTTGAATTAGAATTCTGCGTGCAAGATTTCTTTCTTTTTTGAGGCTGCCGGGCGGAAAAATGAAATAAAAGAAAATACAAATTGCGGGGTAATAAACTACAATGCAAAAAATCGCAATTTAAATAAAGAAAGATAACTCCCTCCAAAAAAAGGGATTATTGTTAAGTAGCATTAATGCATTTATAGTATTTGAATGAAAGAATAAAAGGATAGCGATGAGCCTCTACACGTGCTGAGACTGTTGCTAGTCTGACTCCATTATTATTATTATTAGTAGTAGTAGTAGTAGCATTTGAAGACGGTAGGATGCGGTCTGGTGTGACGTGGGCTTTAGCAAAACATTTTCTTTATCGTGCCAACGTTTCGACCTTTATTGAGATCATCATCAGATCCTGGGATTTATAAATATTGTTTAAATTATACAAATATATGCAGGATGTGAAAAAAGTGAATTTACACAATGCTAGAAATTTTATACTCAATCAAAGTATTTGTACTCACATACATACACAGAAAACAAACATTATGAGTGATTGTCCAGTGTGAAACAAACACTATGGAGTCTTAAATTTCTAGCATTGTATAAATTCACTTTTTTCACATCCTGCATGTATTTGTATAATTTAAACAATGTGTATAAATCCCAGGCCCTGAAGATAATCTCAATAAAGGTCGAAACGTTGGCACGATAAATATGTTTTTCTAAAACCTAAGTCACACCAGACCGTATCTCACGAAGTCCAAATATTCATTAAATAACGGTCACTAAACACCACACATTATTATTATTATTTTTTTACGACGGTTCGCAACAACAGAGGTCATATCAACCCTCAGGGTGCCGGTGTATGTCGGGTTCGAACCCAGAACCTTTACCTAACTATGATGAGCGTTGCGGCCACCGACCCCCCCCCTCTATTATTATTATTATCGGCAATACAAGCCTATGGGAAGTGTTTATATGTTAACAAAACATACATTTGGCCTTCCAAAATCTCTATTTTAAAATGATAAATTAAAGCTGCTCCCAACAACAAATAAGAAAAAAGTGTATTTCCTTCTTCCAAGGTAAAACGCTTACTATCAGTTTAGATAGCTATTTAACTTTATAGTCTTGCGTATTTGCAGTTTTATGACCGAAGTGGAAATCTTCTACTCTATTTTTTATCGTTATATCCCTCCAGTTTGCCTATCAATAAATATGTAAATCAGTTGAACTGAACCACTTGTTTCTGATATAAATATTTGTTTATAAAACGCCCACGAATTTGAAATTTATTTGCAAATAGAATATATGATTTGTTGAAAAGACCCTTTATGAAAAAGTACCTACCTACTATCGTTCTTGTGAAATCCTGCTTGATAGTTTCCTGTCTAGACTTCAGTAAAAAAAAACTAAATATTTAAACTTATTATTGCTGCACAAATAAAAATATAAAAGGCTGGTATATATTAAAGAATCTTAGTTTAAATACTTAGCCTAAGAGCCCTAGCTTAATAAAGTTATCTGTGGAAAAGAGGAAACTACAAGCGAAACATCCCTAACCAGGAAACTCATTGAAATGTTTGTTTTATAATTTGAACTTTTAGGCGTTTAATTATTTAAATAAAACTCTAATTTTACTTTAATAGTGAGATTAAAAGTACTAAAGGCGACAATGAATTCAAAAGTTAATAAACGTTGGGCACTCTCAACACGACAAACATGGCACAATTACACAGAAGACGAGCCTGAAGATGATCTCAATAAAGATCGAAATGTTGGCACGATAAAGAAAATGTTTTTCTGAAACCTACATCACACCAGACCGCATCTCACGATTTCTGAATAATCAAAAGTTAAAATTACTTTAATGAATAGAGAAAGAATACAAGAAGCACAAATTAGATACCATTTAAATCTAAGCTTAAAGTTAAACGGTTGAATTTTAAAGTAAACACAGAACTAAAATACATTTAATTGAAATAATTAAAAGACTTAATTTACTAAACCATTGAGCTAGCAAATAGAAGAGTGCTGTTCAGTCACCTTAGCTTTCGATCTTAAGACGTTATATTTCAAAATTGGTGATAGGCGGACGAAGATGATCAGGACGACCGAATCCCAAAATCCAGCAAAATCCCAGTGGTTAAACACTACTCAAACCTCAGTGCAAATAAAATATCCTGATGAAGCAAAGTGACGTATCGTTGAATTATCAAATCCTCATTGGTTTGTCAAATGTTTTTAGACATTAGCAGGTGGAATTGCTTCATGGGCTCTGCGGGATGATGAATTTTTAGCAGTTTGCGAACATTTTGGCCTGGCTATCCTCGCTATTTTGATCAGACAGACACTACAAGCACTAACCAATTATTAAATATTCGGATGAAGCCAAAGGTGATGTACGTGTAGTTTTGTCGGATCATCAAGATCCACGTGAACTCACTCGTTTGGTTTGTTGAACCTCTTTAGGTATTTGGAAGTGGAGGATCTTAATTGGGTCTGCAGAATGACGAAACTGTAGTTGTTTCCGATTATATTGGTCTGCTAACTTCACTGGTTTAATCTATCGTTTGTTACCTAAGCACTACACCATCCTCAGTGCACTAAAAAAACTCTTAAATAGACGGATGAAGCCAAGGTGATGATGACGTAGTTTTAACGGATCATCAAGGTCCACATGTACTCGCTGCTTTAGTGTTGTCAGGCCATGATGAAAGGAAGCGACCAAAAAACAGGTTCCTAGCCAAGTATTTAAGTTTTACGAGGCAGTTTTTTGTGTTCCTTACTGTGGATTGTTTTGTGGGGTGTAAACAGGGTGAGACAAAATCCACTGCGGAAGGGACCATCCTGGTCTGCCTATCCTCGCTGCTTTAGTGTTGTCAGGCCATGATCAAAAAGAATCCACCAAAAAAATAGGTTCCTAGCCAAGTATTTAAGTTTTAAGAAGCACGTTTTTTGTGGTCCTGTACAGTGGATTGTTTTGTGCGAAATAAACAGGGTGAGACGAAATCGGAAGGGATGATACTGGCCCGCTTATCCTCGCTATTTTATTGTTTTCAGGCTTTGATGACAGACCTAAAAAAATGATCCTATACAAGTATTTAAGTCGAAGAAGTAAGTTTTTATTGGTTTATCTGGTCGCGTACAGAAGAGTGTAAATTGACCTGGAGGTTATAAACAAAGTGAGGTGAAACACCGGTGAATTAGAGCTCACCCTGGTCCGCCTGTTCTCGCTGTTTTATCTCCTGTCTTACTATGATCGAAAACAACTTAGTTGCAGGTGCACCACCCTAATACCCTAATCCCCAACACGTTTGACAAACCAAACCAGAGAAGACATATGGACAAGATCTGATTGAACTACACGTACATCACCTTGCTTCATAAAAATATTTCATACATTTCTTAGTGCACACCAAAGAAGAGAGTGGTCAATATTGTTTGGGTATGCTTCGTTTATTTCTTAAGAAAAACGGTACGAGATAATAAAATGGCGGTTTTAAGTTTTTATGTGATGCTTTCTTGTATTTTTAATTTGTAGGCCATCAGGAGGTCGGGACCAGGTTATTCGAATCTTTTTTTAAATTAAATTGTATTTATTTATCGTATAAACCCCCGTTGCGGCTAGAATATCAAAAAGGAGGGAGATTGAGCTGGCAACGCCGCCGCCGGGACCTACTCTCCCACTCTGCCTCCTCCTCTTCGCCACCTCCTCCTCCTCTTCTTACCGTCGAGGCGCACTGCCATCCTTGGCCAAACACAATCTTAAAGCCGTACGGACCGCATTTCGAACCGGCCCCCGATTTGTTTACAATATACGCCCCCGACGCGGCGAAGACACGCGGACCACGCGAGTGTTTGTGCTATCATATTCAGTGATTAATTGTGCCCTGTGCTTTCCCCGGGAAATTTAAAACGACTCTCCTCAACCAAAACAGAAAGGATTATAACAATTTTACGGACAGGTCTGTTGAAGTTTTTAATCAAATAATTTATAACTATAAATAAAATATACTTTACAAAATTAATCACAAACAATAAAATACAATTATTCTAGTGTAATTATGAAAATGAAGAATACAGCTATATACTACATACGCTAAAAAAAGTTATGTAAAAATAATTACTCTATTGTTAGCATAAAAATAAGACAATAATTATTACAAAATCTACCATTCTGGCTTGATAATCTGTATAGTCAGCAGAAATAAAACTCATCAACTTAGGAAAACATAAAAAATTATGCTTTGTTTACATAAAAATGATATACATACAAATAGTAGCAAATAGTTCTGAGATTTCTTCTTGGGGTCTGAGTTGTAAACGATGTTGTCATTTCCGATCATTTTGGTCTAGCTGACTTCGCTGTTTTGGTCTGTCAGACGAGTTTCAGCTTCTCGTCATCGTCATTGGCACCTGAGATGAGAATAAGACATACAAAACCAAACAAGAGTGAGATAAGAGGTGTTATCAAGACAGTGAGGTATATAGTTTTTTGTTTGAAAAGTTGGTTCTTTCAGTTTGTTATTTTCATCCGGATTTCAAGCTTAAAGCTCATCATCAGGTCGAAATAAGGATCGTTGAAAAAAACAAGCTGTGAAAAAGATCGAATTTATCAAAAAAGATTTAACAATATACTCACCCCACTTTTATCGTTTCTATGAGGTATAGATGCCAAAACTACACGTAACAATTTTTGGGTTTAGGTAGAACCAATAAAAAATATCCTAAGATTCAAGTGTTATCATAAAATTAGGATGTACTAAAACAATGTTATTAATTCCACGATAGCTCAAGTGGTTAGAGCAGCGGCGTATTGAGCCGAAGGTCGTGGGTTCGAATCCCGCTCGTGATACTAACTTTTTCATTTCAACCAATACCTTACATAATTGAAAGAATGTTATAAATTAATACAATTTAATAATTGAAAAAATTGGAATACGTGGTTTTGACTATTTGATGTCCTACAAACTAAAAGGACAAAATTAAAAAAAAAATAGCATCCCGTAACGTCAGAAATTTTGGTAAAGATATAAATGAAATATTAGCAAATAATATCGGCCCCTGGCTTTTTATAACTGAAGCTTGATTTTTATTTGTATAAGTAAGAAAAGTGAGATTTTTTCTTGGTATCTGCCGATCTGAACCTGCAGTTTGGTCGTTCCTTCCGCCTTTGGCCCTCCGGGGAAGGGAAGGGTTTGTGAGAAGCGGAAACGGGTCTGACAGGCCTAAATAGCGACGAAAGGCGGACCAGGATGATCGGAAACGACCAACCAAACTATGTCCAAAAATATGTTAGAAGTGTGAAAGCCTGCAGTAAACAATCCGACTTGTAACACCCATCATAATGGGCCATCATCAGTGAACTGGCTCTCGGTCTAGGAGTTTTGCTTTGATTTCTATGATGGTTCAAACTAAAAAAAATTGTACTTTTACGAAATTCTAACCCAACACAAAATTGTACCAATAACTGAATTAATTAATTAGTAGGAGATAAGCGCAGCGAAATTTCTAACGAGGTATAGACCTAAAACATGTATCCTTATTATTCCCTTATTTTAAAATAAGGTACATACCCTAAAAAGTTACATTAGTCTTGTGTAAAATTAAAAATAAAGCCTAGGGTCAATTTGATAAGAGGTATAACCACAAGCAATTAATCACAATCATTTATCAGAAAATGGAGATAAAAATGCTATGAAAATACGTAAAGAAATTTTTATAGGATTTATAATAAATCAGTACGACAGAATGAATGAATATCGACATTTCAGGTTTAATATAAAAATAGTTACAGAAGAGATTCTTTGTTCGACATGCAATTGAGGAATTATTCTGATATTAATTCTAATAATTATTCTGAATAATTCTAAGCACGTAACACTAAGGCTCTATGGTTAACACAAAAATTTGGCACACACTTTTTATAAAAGAATGATCGTGTAGCATTCTAATTGTTTTTTTTTTTAGGTTAACATTAATCAATGTTTAACATTAAGAAGGGTACTTACTCTAATATACTTGAAAAATTGAAATATTAAAAATGGAGTATAGTAACATAAATTGAAGCATAGTGTCTAAACCAACAGGAAACAATATCACATTATTCTAATGTCATCTTAACAATGAGGTACATACTAAAAAACAGAAACGTAACTATTCTAAGGTTAACACAAAAATTTGGCACAGGCTTTTTATAAAAGAATGTTCCTGTAACATTCTAATTTTTTTAGCTTAACATTAATCTATGTTTAACATTAAGAAGAGATACTACTCTAATATGCTGGCAAATTGAAATTAAAAATGGAGTATAGTAACATAAATTGAAGCATAGTGTCTAAACAAAACAGAAACGTAACTATTCTAAGGTTAACACAAAAATTATGGAAATTTTCTTAGGGTATTATTCTATACGTAACATAAAATTGAGGTATACTAAACCTATAGGAAATTATTCTTGTCATCTTAAAAAAAGAGGTACATACGCTAAAAAATAGAAACGTAACTCTATTCTAAGGTTAACACATAAATTATGGAAATTTTCTTAGGGTATTATTCTATACGTAACATAAAATTGAGGTATACTAAACCTATATGAAATTATTCTTGTCATCTTAAAAAAAGAGGTACATAATATGTTAAAAAAGACCTAACAAGAGGTACTTTTGTAAAAACATGCAATAGCATTCTAGCATTCTAATGTTACCTTAAAAATGAGGTTCTATGTTATACACGATCATGTGGTAAACATAAAAATTGAGGTACTGTTTATACAATTCCTCACAATGGAAGAATGTTATGCATTGCATAAAACACTAGAATTTACAATACTTATCATAATTCCAGGATGGCAAAAATTATACTAAATAAATAAGGTACAATTCTTAACTTATTATAAAATTGAGGTATGCTATGTAATCCTATAGCAGGCATTATTCTCATGTTAGCATCAAAAATTAGGTACATAGTTCTGCTTAAAAAAGACGTAACATTATTGCAAATTCACTTTTTTTCGTGGTCCGCTTGACCAATTAATATTATTCGATTAATTAAGGTTTTTAGTTGAGATAAAAAGTCAGTGTCATGAGGGGGATTCAAACCCACGACCTTCGGCTGCATACGCCGCTGCTCTACCACTTAAGCTATCGTGACTTCAACTACAAACCTTAAGTGAAAGATATTAATTGGTCAAGCGGACCACGAAAACTAGTGAATTTAGTAGGTAAAAATGAAGTATACCTTAACTAAAGCTCTCCGTGGCCATTTCATTTGTTGACATTTGAAAAATGGCAAAAGGAGGGAAAATTCAAAAAGGTGGGGTTGAGATGGGAAGTTAGTGTCCGGTTGGATGGAGGTCACGATAGCTCAAGTGGTAGAGCAGCGGCGTATTTAGCCGAAGGTCTTGGGTTCGAATCCCGCTCGTGACGCTCACTTTTTTATCTCAACTAAAAACTTAATTAATTAAATTATCCTAGAGTTAACTCAAAGATTGAGGTACTATTCAAAGAATAATATTCAAGTTAAGGTATAACTTTATTCAAAAGTAAGCATTAAAAAAATTCAACCAGATACTAAGGTTGTCATAACAATTTATAAAATCTTACTTAACGATAGAAGCATCCTAGGGCTTGCAAGGAAGCGAGGTACAGAGGTACATACTCTAAATACAGTAAATATGTAAAGTTAGGAAAGAAATCTCATTCTTTGCTTAACATAAAATTGAGGTCCTTTAAACCTATGGGAAACATTATTGGAATGCTATCTTAAAAATTAGGTACAGAAGCTACAACTGCACCACACAAAAATACCTAAGCATCATTTGAGCTTGGGCTTGCACAAAAACGAGATACAGAACGCTAAAACAACGCATTACATTATTTTAAGTTTAGCATAAAAAAGAAGAATTATTTCAAAATGTAGTATTCTAATATTTACCTAAACATGAGGCATGAATATAAAAACCTTTTTCTAAGTTAAATATGAATCTGATCGTCTCGTCTGTTTTGACATTATTTATTTATCAATTAATTAAGGTTTTTAGTTGAGATAAAAAAAGTCACTGTCACGAGCGGGATTCGAACCCACGACGTTCGGCTTGATACGCCGCTGTTCTACCACCTGAGCTATCGTGACCTCGATCCACTCGGACACTAACTTCCCATCTCAACCCCACCTTTTGAATTTTCCCTCCTTTTTGCCATTTTTCAAATGTCGTGTAATCGGATTGGATTCTCGACGACAAATGAAATGGCCACGGAGAGCTTTAGTGAAGTATACTTCATTTTAAATCATTAAATTCACTAATTTCGTGGTCCGCTTGACCAATTAATATATTACAATTAATTAAGGTTTTTAGTTGAGATAAAAAAGTCAATGGCACGAGCGGGATTCGAACCCACAATCTTCGGCTAGATAAGTCGCTGTTCTACCACCTGAGCTATCGTGACCTCGATCCACTCGGACACTAACTTCCCATCTCAACCCCACCTTTTGAATTTTCCCTCCTTTTTGCCATTGTTCAAGCACTCCATTTTTGTTAGTGTCCGAGTGGATCGAAGTCACGATAGTACAAGTGGTAGAGCAGCGGCGTATCTAGCCGAAGGTCGTGGGTTCGAATCCCGCTCGTGACACTGACTTTTTTTATCTCAACTAAAAACCTTAATTAATTGAAAGGTATTAATTGGTCTAGCGGACCACGAAAACTAGTGAATTATTTATTTATCTATTATTACGACTATTACTTCCTAATTCTAACAAGGCTAATAAATTTTTTAAATATTATTTTTACATTTTGGAGTTTTGACCATGCAATACCCTATTCTGTAAATACTTTACCCCAAAGTCTCAATTTATTTAAGCAAAGAAAGTTTTACATTTTAAAAACCTTCATCACCCCGCAGACAGCGAGAAATTTCATAATTTTAAAACAGAAATAAAACTTAGGGTTTTATATTGCGTATAGCAG